ATGAGGAAGAAGAGGATGGAGCGTGATCGAGAGGGAGAGGTAAACAGAGAGAGCAGGTGGGTTATCTGGGTGAGGTTTAAACTAAAAGGGGATTTTATTAGTGAGTAATCTGACTAAATGTGTGTCTATTAAATATTCAAAGAGGCCCTGTTCTGCTTTCGGTGGTTGTTCCCTCCTGTACTGGGTTCTATTGGTTTGAGTGCATGTAAATGGTCTCTAAATGCTAAAATCCCTCCCTGTTCCCTCCAGAGGGAGGTTCTCAATGTGTGGTCTTTTATCACAATATAGATATTGATATTTTGCCCAGCCCTATAGGAGAGGCTGGGATCAGAGAATATAGAAATGCATTAACTAGTTTTGCTTGGAAATATGAACGTATTCAGCTCTTACTGATATGTGTCATTGTTCCCTCTCAGATGTTCCTGTTTAAAGCGGAGCAGATGAAGAGATATGAAAAGGAAAAGGTGGGCGATTCATCAACATTCTTTGTTACAATACTTTACCTAATTGAGTTTCAGAATTGTTTAAAAATGTTCACAAATTAGGTAAACTAATTATTGAAACAGCTTTTGTATTAAAAAAAGATTCTGTCCTGAACTTTTTACAAGTGGTTTCTAGGTTATTTGTCTTTATTTGTCAACAGGTGGTAGGGGGCATCTGAACGGATAAATGTCCTTAACGTGAAGTAATGATGAACCTGTGATCTTCTAACAGATAAACCGGATAAACCAGGCCAGAGAGCAGGGCTGGAGACACGTGCTGAGCTCCAGTGGAGGCAGCAGCCCCGAGAGGAAGGTACTGGAGCACCTGATCATTATCCCACCTTTTACTTACAAGTATCTCCAGGTGTCATCGTCGCCTTCACCTGAGCTCCACCTACGAGACAAGACCACAATAATACCTCGGTCTCAGATCAAGGCTGTGATGTTTCGTACATCACAGCAGCTCCATTTGCCACGTCCAAAGTCAGAATTTTGAGATTTTAAGAAAAAAAGTCTGCATTTTCAGGACTTTAAGAAACTCAAAAAAAGTCAGAATGTTTTGAGACTTTCAGGAGAAAAGTCCTAATTTTCATATTTTAACAAAAACATAAGGATTTTCTGAAAAAGTCCTAATTTTGTGATGTTAAGAAAAGTCCAATTCTTTTAGATTTTATGTAAAAAAAGTCAGAATTTTTTATTGTAAGAAAAAGTCAGAATTTTCAGGACTTCAAGAAAAACTCAGATTTTTGAGATTTTAAGAAAAAAAATCAGATTTTTAAGATTTTAAGGAGAAAAATCAACATTTTCAAATTTTAACAAAAAAATAAGGATTTTCTAAAAAAAAAGTCCTAATTTTGAGATTTTAAGAAAAAAGTCAGAATTTTTTTTGATTTAAAAGAAAAGTCAACATTATAGAGATTTTCTGAAAAAAGCTGAATTTCAAGATTTTATGAATTTGAAATGTTATGAAAAAAGTCAGAATTAAGGGATTTTTATTAAAGTCAGAATTTTGAAACATTCAGAATTTCAAGTTGTGTATATTTGTATACTGTGCTCCTCCTCAGTGTTGTGCTCACCTCCCCCTGTGCTCCCCCTCAGTGTTGTGCTCACCTCCTCCTCAGTGTTGTGCTCACCTCCTCCTGTGCTCCTCCTCAGTGTTGTGCTCACCTCCCCCTGTGCTCCTCCTCAGTGTTGTGCTCACCTCCTCCTGTGCTCCTCCTCAGTGTTGTGCTCACCTCCCCCTGTGCTCCTCCTCAGTGTTGTGCTCACCTCCCCCTGTGCTCCTCCTCAGTGTTGTGCTCACCTCCCCCTGTGCTCCTCCTCAGTGTTGTGCTCACCTCCCCCTGTGCTCCTCCTCAGTGTTGTGCTCACCTCCTCCTGTGCTCCTCCTCAGTGTTGTGCTCACCTCCCCCTGTGCTCCTCCTCAGTGTTGTGCTCACCTCCCCCTGTGCTCCCCCTCAGTGTTGTGCTCACCTCCTCCTGTGCTCCTCCTCAGTGTTGTGCTCAC